GAGAGAGAATTTGAAGCAGGCTCCGCACCCAGCACGGAGCCCAGCATGGGGCTCAACCTCATGACCCTGAGATCATGACCTGAGCCAAAATCAAGAGTCAGACACTTAACGGACGGAGCCACCCAGGCGCTCCCAGGATAAACCTTTCTGGAAAGAAAATCCTCAAGATGGCGGGCGGGATGGCCCCTGTTTTACCAAGGAGATCTGCTTTGCTCGTAGCATAGATTCTGGCAGCAGAATGCTGATGTTGCTTTCTGAACTAGGTCATTGTTGGCACTGATTTTCTTATATGGCCGTGGGGCCACACAGCCTGATAATGAATTGCCAAAGGGCAAGGGACCCTGCTTGTTGAGTCCCCTGCTGTCACTGTATTAGCAGATGTCTCCCTTCATGCCAGGGACAGTCTGGAGCCTGGTTTACAGCTGCTAACTCAGTGGCAAAGAGTGGGGACTGACACCAAACTCGAGCAGATGCGATACAAAGCAGCGGCCGCCAACTCCATGGGTACAGGCTTCGGGAAAGGGCTTTGGGGGAGAGGGTCCGAGCAGCAGTGTGAACAGCTGGGTCTTGCGTCAGGCCAAAGGAAAATTGGGCAGTTTATTAAAATGAAACACTCCTCCAGAGTAGAGAACATCTGTCTGTACCTGCCCCCCTCCCCCAGGATGGACACTTTTCTCCTTCAGTGATGGGTGATTTCTGTTGAATTGGTCACCTGTTATTGTGTAACCTCTCCCCAGAGTGTTGTGGCCTGAAACAGTGATGCTGGAGTATTGCTTATGACTCCTGGGGTTGACTGGGGGTTTTCCTGTGGGTCCTGCCTGGGCTCGTTCATGTGCTGGTGGTCAGCTGGAGGAGTGCTGGCCGTCTGCACTTGGCCCCGGGCTGTGGCTGGTGTCTTGGTTCTTCTCCGTGTGACCTCTCCAGCAGGCTAGCCCCGGCCTGTTTTTGTGCCGATGGACACATTCCAAGAGGTCAAAGGCAGGTGCTCTAGGGCCTCTTAAGGTTTAACCTTGGAAAGAGCCCAGCGTCACAGGAAATCCCAAGGCCAGCCCTGATTCAGGCCACCTCTTGGTGGGGGCAAGGGGCACAGTGGCTTTGGGGCGTGGACATAAGGGGATGGAGTTGTTACTGTAATAATCTACCAGCTTGCTTCCTGTCCCTGAGGATCCGTGTCCTTTACACCTGCAGGATATACTCCTCTCCCGTTTTTGCCCTTCCCTTGTGGCACAGCATCGACCTTAAAGTCTGTGCTCTGCCTGCCTCAGCCAAGGATGGCCGTGGTGGGGCCACCAGGTTGCAGCTCCTTAGATCTGGCTTCTCTTGATTCAGGGAGCTGTGACTTGAAAAGCTACCCCCAAAACCAACCAACCAACAAACGTGGCAAGGTTGGGACAAGGTAACCGCAGCAGCAGATAGTCTTATTTAAAGAGTGGGGGTAGCGAGGGGCATATAGCAGTAAACGGTCCCTGGCAGCTCGGAGGTCCGGCCCGGCACATGCCGTCCGGCCAGCATGCTCCTTCTCAGCATCGTAAACTGTGGTGTCTGGTGGTGGTGGTGAGTAACCAACCCACCACAACCTGGTGGTTCAAACAACAGATTTCTTCTCTCTCATGCTTCTGTGGATGACAGGGCAGTTGGCTGGCCTTCGCTGGGGGCCGTCAGTGGCTGCAGTGAGCAAGCGGTGGGGCCGGGGGTGACCTGGGCTGAGTGGGTCCCTCCCACATGCGTTCGTTCCCAGCCTCACCAGCTCTTTGGGGGCCTAGGTTTAGAAGTCCCCACATTCTGCTGGCCAGAGCATGTGTCAAGACCTGCCCAGATTCAGGGGATGGGGATGTAGGCTCTTTCTTGCTGGGAGGGAGTGCCAGTCACTCTGCAAAGGGGCATGGTCATAGAGAGATGTGATTAATTGGCAGTTATCTTGGTAGCAGGCTCCCACGCTATCCTCTCCAACATTGTGGGAGTTTGGATACATTTTTGTTGGCTTCATTTTCTATTAATTCTCAAAAAGGAAATGCCGCTGTTCTTAGCATGGGGATGGGACAGTTAACAGAGGGGTGTCAGGTTAGCTAACCTGAAACAGGCCATGTCTTAGTGGCATGTCTGCTTGTCAGGGCTGCTTTGCTTCTCTCCCCAGGTCTCCTGAGCAGTGGTTCTCAAAGTGTGGTCCCTGGACCGGTGGAGTCTGCGTCACCTGGCTGCTCTCTGCTTCTTGGGCCGCACACCACATTTACTGAACCAGAAATTCCGGGGCGGGGCGGGGGGGGGCAGGCAGTCTGTGTTCTGACAAGCCTGCCGGGTGATTCTGATGCCCCAAAGACTTGAGAACCACTGTTCCTGCAAATTCAAATGGCTCTTGCTACTGCTTCCTTACTCTTGCAAGCTGGAGATGTTGCCATCCCCACTCCCTCTTTCCTGGGCTCTCTGTCCCTCTGATTTAGGATATTCTTTGTAGTATCTGCCCCAGATGGTGTTTGTGTCAGTGTAAGGCTGGGGCTTTCTTTCTGCTCCGGGGACATTTATTGGCCGTCAGTCATTGTGCCCAGGAACATGGGTATAAAAGTGAGTAAAACATGGTCCCTGAGTTCCCTCAGCTTCTAGTCTAGTGAAGGAGGTATAGTGTGGGAGGGTTGGCCAGTTCAAGGAAAGGACAAGTGCAGTTCAGGTATGTTTTAGCTTGAGGTGTCCATGTAGAAATATATATCTAGCAAGTCATTGATCTTAGGAGTTAAAATTGAAAAGGCAGGGCTGGAGCTGGCAATTTTGGAAGTTACCGTATACATGAAAATTTAAAACCATTTTTCCTCAAAGATGGCTATTCATCAGAATTAATTGGGGTCTTAGAAAAATATGGATTATGTACCCCTGCCCTATGGATGACTGAGAGTTTTGGGATCTCCCATGTGTCCCAGGGGATTCTGACCAGCCAGGTTTGGGAAACACAGCCCCAAATGTGAAACTGCATGGGGAGAAGTAGCCAAGGGGTAGGAGGGCCAGTATGGAGCCCCAGGGGGGAATGCCTGTCATATGCGGAGGTGGGAAGACTCCTCTGGGAGCAGGGGGGGGGATGGGGAGGAGACAAGTGCAGAGCAGGGTTTAGATGCCAGGGGACTGGAAAGTTACCAGAGGGAGGGCTTCGTGGAGGAGGATCGGATTAGGCACTGCAGCCCTGGTGGCCAGAGCTGGAGCCGGCCTGCAGAGGGACCGGCGAGGGTCGGGGCACCTGGCTGGACCCAGTGACTTGCAGGGAACTCTCAGGGAAGGAGAAGGTGAAGGAGGAAGGCAACCAGGAAAGCCCAGTGTGTTTGTTTTTTCAAATGGGAGAAACCCGAGCAGGCTGCCAAGGGCGATGGGTCTGTAGAGAGGGCTGAATGGAAGAGGGAGCAGCGAAGCAGGCTACTGATGAAGCCACGGCCCAGGGGTCAGAAGGATGGACTCCAAAGCTCAGCGCTTAGGATTGGCCTTGAAGAAAAGGAGGGCCACCCCCGCTCATCCCAGAGGGAAGGAGGTAAGGGAAGGGGTTTGGAAACGGGAGTTTCTAGCTGCTGAAAATGGGTGTGGTCTCTCTCATGTTCCTTTTTCCTGGCAACCCGGGATGCGTTTCTTGCTTGCTTTGTTCATTATTACTGATGGTGGGTTTTGTGAGCTTTTACCTTGTTCAGTGTGCAGTCTCAAAAACGGGGCTTCTTTGGCGTCCGTGAGCCCACCCGTGACTTAGTGCGCATGTGTTAGTAGGGTACGTTATTTCTGCGGGGTTCACATTGTAGCACAAAGCAGCACCTCCACACTGGAAATGGGCGGGCTGGGGTTCAGCAGTTCCTCATAAGGCACTGCTTGGAACTCTGTGTGTTTCACCTTGAAAGCAAATTAGCGGTTAGTGCCTGGTTGGCCCACAGAGCTCCGCTAACTCACAGTGCTGCCAACATTGCTGTAATTCTGTGTTGATCTCCCCCCTCCATACCTCCTCTTCCTGTGCCTGTTATCCTCCCTCTTTTTCAGCCCTCCTCCTTCCCCATCTTCCTTCCTTCTCCATGTTTCTGTTCCTTACAAGGACTGGTAGACTTTGAGGGTGGGCCTGGCATCCTGTCACTCATGGGAAGCCCTTTTTGAGGGAAGGTGTGTAATGTGGCGCCTCCCAGGGTTCTGTCTTACTCTGTGGGGTTTCGGGTGGTGCCAGCAGTATTTTGGGCTGGGTGGCTCCTCGTGCTAAGATAGGCAGTGGCCCTAAGTCTCCTTGCTGAATGTCAGTCTCGCCCCTCAGTTTGAGACAGACACCCTCCCTCACCCCATACCATTTCCAGGCACCCCCTGGGGTTGACAGGTTGCTGCTTGTTGAGAACTCAGCTGCTCACACATCTTTCTGGTCAAGGAGCCGTTAGGATGGGTGTTGGGAGTCCCCTTGGAAATGTACACAGTGTGTGTGTGTTCACCTAATCACGCTAGTGATTAAGGGCTTTCAGAAGCAATTTCAAGGGCACGATGTCTACGAGACAAAAGAAAACAGGTTCTTACTGTTTCCTGGGATCTGGTTAAAATATTTAGGCCAAGGTAGTACTGTAGGTAAAGATGAGTAGGACTGCATTTGCGGGACTTCAAACATGGCTTGTTAGGAAATGATTAAGTGCTGGTTAACCTATATTACAGTATATACCAACCTGAACTTCGAAAATTTGGCAGGGGGAAGCAGGAGGAGAAAAGTGGAGTATTTGCTTAAATAAGAGTGTTTTTCAGTAAATCCATATATCCTAATGCATTGAAATAAGTGTTTTGGTTTTAATTTAATAACTGGGTTACTGTTCTTGTTTGCACACTTGCCGGGTTTCATAGAGGTGAGGCTTAGAAATCTCTGTGTCCTGAGTGTGAAGAGCTGTGGTCACAACCAGCCTTGACCCTTAAATGAAAAAGACTGGAAGACTGTGTTCTGTATGTTTGTAAGGAAAAAAAAAATCCGTCCCCATCTTGTGAGTTACTGAAGTTTCTCTTCTTTTCCTTCTCTCCTACAGAACCTGAAAGCAGATCCAGAAGAGCTTTTTACAAAACTGGAGAAAATTGGAAAGGGCTCTTTTGGTGAGGTGTTCAAAGGCATTGACCTTCGGACTCAGAAAGTGGTTGCCATAAAAATCATTGATCTGGAAGAAGCAGAAGATGAGATAGAGGACATTCAACAAGAAATCACAGTGCTGAGTCAGTGTGACAGTCCATATGTAACCAAATATTATGGATCCTATCTGAAGGTAAGGCTTGAAAATAAGAACGCGATGTTCCATGATGCGGTGCTTGACCGAGTTGGAGCAGTGGACGTGAAGGATGTCGGTAGCACAGCAGGCTTTCAGAGGAAGGAGAAATGTTCTGACCTTTGCAATCAAAAGAACCTGGCTTTGATAGTTTTATCATCTTAACGGTCACCTATAGAAATATATTTTGGTTAAAGTGTTTGTCGGCGTTCCCTTTCAAGGAGGAAAGTATTTCTGAGTGAGACTTTGTCATCAAAGACACATTTATTCTGAAGGTATTGTAACGACAACCATGAATTGATCCCCGTAAAACCATGAATTTAGCATGGTTTATCGTAAAAACTCATGCTGACCCAAGAATATTAGCCTTTTGATATTTTCAGTTATCAAATGCAGTTTAATGTTGTTTTAAAAACTGCTGGAACTGATAATGTTCAGTGAGCTAGTTCATCTACATTTGACTTTGAAGAATTCTAGGTAAGTAAATAATTACTTAAAAGAGTTACAGTACAACACTACACATTGTCCTTGATTTCACCTAGTTCTGTGAATAGGAAAGACAAGCATTGAGTTGGTGTTCCAGTCCTTCCTGGGGCCATTTTAGATGTCGTTGGGCACTCCGGTTACACCACTAAGAAAGCAAAAGGCTGTCCGTTGGGTTTCAAGTCCCTTGACTTATGCCTGTTTTACTGACCTTAACAGTGTAGTATCTTCCGAAGTGGGGTTTTGGAAATCTTAAGAATTGAACAAAAATTCTAAAATAACTCTTGTGGAAACTAAAACTTCATAGGTGGGAAGAACTTCCCGAGAGCGAGGCAGCGGTAAGCCCAGAGAATGTATGGCCAGGCTTCCTTCCGACCCGGGTTTATCCTGTAAATTCTTCATGTTGCAGCTCAACACCTACTCTGCTGTCAGAAGGGACAGTGCAGGCTTTGATTTTGTGGGAATGGGATAATAAGGTATAAGTGGAAAGATAGACATTTTGAGAACCCATTGATTCACTTAAATATTTAAAGAAATAAAAATCGAGTGGTAATCCAGTCTTTTTTTGGCAATATGACGTAGGTTCAAATGGCAAAGGATGGCAGTCTGCCGTAGGCCAAATGCAGCCTTTTAAAATGGAAAGGGTAAGTTTTGGAGTCTGACGTCTTAGACTTGAATCTTGCTTGTCTTGGCATGTGGCTTTGAGCAAGTTTATTTGTTTTTTAAAAAATTTCCCTGCTTCCTCATTTGTAAAATGGAAAATCATGGTATATACCTCATTTTTGCAAAGATTAAATGGTATCAAGTATGCAAAAATACCTGGCATGTGGTAGCTACTTAATGAGTGTTAATGTCCTTCCTTAATTTATTCATACCCCATCTCTGAAATTACCTTGCAATAAAGGACGTATTCACTGAGGTCAAAGCAAGGAGGAGGAAGTATGCCAATGATAACAATGGATGTTGGGGTGGGGTGCATCCCCTTTGGGTCTTGACAGGGCAGAGAGGGAAGCACTGTATGCTTTGATTGTCATGATCCAAGAGAACACGTGTGACTTCCATACGGGAAAGCAAAGGTCTTCTTGATGTTAAATTTCTATTGAGAAAAACAAATAGCCGAAGAAACTCAACTTGAACTCTGTCTGCTAGATCACTTACTATTCTTTGTGAAATGACTTTGACAGTAGTTTTATAGTAAATTCAGAGTTGCATTTCATGTGGTATGTATATTTTAATATGAATCATGGTACCTTTGGCAAAGGAAGGGTGGAAGTTTCTCAAAAATTTTTGGTGATTTATGCCAGCTAATAGTTAACTATGGAAATAAAGGATCAGTGGTTCAAAGGTATCTTTTTCAACCCAGTTCTCCAGCAAAATTTTTACTGTGTGCTGGAATAGATTGCTTTATTGTGGCCAAACATGGTGTTGACTGTACATGTTTAGAGATTCCGTCTGGTATGTCCTGTTCTTGCTTGAGTAACTTGATTCTAGAACATATATTTCAAGTCAGCCTCACCTTGATCTAGAGTTGCCCAGTGATGTCAGCTGCTAGAATAACCCCCCTAAATTTATAATAGCTCACACGTGATACAAGTTTATTTCTTGCTTGCTGGTAGTCCTGCTTTATGGGCAGTTTTCCTCCAGACAGTGATTGAACCTGGTTCCTCCTTTCTTGTTCTTCCTTCCACCTTCCGTGCATGGCTGTGCTCGTGGGCTTTAAGTCACTGTGGGAGCTAAAATGGAGACTCCTGTGAGAAGTGTCCGTGTGCCCAGGCCTAGGTATGGAACACGTATTTTCTGCCCACATTTCCCTGGCCAGTCCCCAGTCATACCACCACACCTGACTATGGAGAGGCCAGGAAGGAGCATCTCATCATGAGCTTCCTGGAGCAGGCAATGGGCTTGGTGCTCAGCCAGCCGTCCCTTTCCAAAGCCACTTACTCTGTAAAGGAAGTAGAATAACTCCCGGAATGATGTTCTCAACTGACTGTCTTCAGGAGGATGAAAAGTTTGGATAACTTTGTCTAGACTGTTTTCTATTTTACTAGACAGATTGTCTTTTAGAGGCTAGAACTGCCTCAAGAATGCCAAAAATAGTATCACCATTGTGAAAACTTGACCTTGGCTTCTTAAACCATGTAAAACTGGATTCTGTCTAATTGGATTAAAAACATAAAGGAACTTCTCTAGTTAAACAATAGTAGCTGTCGTTAAGTTGGGCTGGACAAGAATCCAGACCTGTGACTCTTATCTGCTGGTTCCTGTATAACACTTTCACGAAGTCCCTTGGCCCAGAGGAAGAGCCTCAGTGGTGAGCCAGTTTAGGTTCGTAAATTCCTAACTGTTGGGTAAGATACAAATTAAATTGACACCTAAGACGGATGGGTCAGTGGGTCTTTGACACTAAGTTGAAAATTACTGTGCTTTCTGTGGTTTTTGTTGCCCTTCTAAGAACTCCCCATAGCATTCAGAGGTAATATTCTTAGTTCTTTAAGGGCTGATGGGAGAGAGGGCCTTCCATTTCACCTGGTGTTAAGGACTTTCACATACCAAGATTGGGCAAAGAAAGAAATGAGCAGAAACTAGTTTCTTTGTATTGGGTTAGCACTTAAAGGTCCCCTAACTATGTGTCCATTGGTTTTAATCATCTGGTTTAGAGAAAGAGATTAAGCACAATAGGTAAGCAGTGGTCTGAATATATTGAATGTTACTGAAGATGAGGGGAGTGGAGCTGATTTCTTACTGTGTGGCTGTGATCAAGTCACAGAACTGCGGTGTAGCAAGTTTGTCCCCCAAAGATTGAAAACAAAAACAAGATTGGGCGAAGAAAGAAATGAGCAGAAACTGGTTGGAGGAGGAGAGGCAATAATTCAGCGATGAGAGCTTAAGGTTCTGTTGATGAATCTGAAGCCCCGATGGGTCTTAAAGATTACCAGGGACCAAAGAAGAACTGCATTTGTTGTAGTTCAGGTGTTTAATGTGTGGGAAATTAAACCATTGAGAATATTTAATTAACCAGAAGCCTCTGAATCCCAACCATAAACCACTGGAATTTCCTGTCACAAAAATACCATCCACAAGGTCATAATGAAACTGTGTGTGTGTGTGGGGGGGTGCTTTGGGTGGTGTGCAGGAGAAGAGAGAGAATTTTTTGGTTTTTTAGTTAAGCGGTAAAGACACAGTAAGATCATAACAGAGGACATGATGTTATATAGGATTCTAAGCCTGTTTTCTTTTTGTGCAGCGTTCACAAGTGCTATTCATCCTCTTTAGCTACACAGATCTCTTAAGTGTTTTTGTTGTTGCTGTTGTTCTGCGGAGATAAGCGGGTTATTAGAATCTCCACTTTGAGATTCACAGAGCCAAAGCCAGGATTTTAGTCTTGGATCTTAGCATAGGTACTTAACTGTCCGTGCATTCTTTAGGCTGCCAACTTCCTCAGGGATAAAACGTAGAAACAGAAATTTCACTTGCGGGATTACTGATCAAGATTGAGAACATGTAGATAAAGTGCCTGGCGTGTAGGAGATCTTTAGCAAATGATAATTTTTTTTAATAAGAGACAAGTTACCTGTGCCAAATGACTCAAAATTCGTGAGTCTTTTTTTTTTTTTTAGATTTATTTTTTAGAGGGGGGAGGGGCAGAGGGGGAGAGAATCTCAAGGGGACTCCCCACTGAGTGCAGAGCTCAACTGGGGGTGGGGCGGGGGGTGGGGCTTGATCTCACAACCCTGAGATCATTACTAGAGCCGAAATCAAGAGTCGGGCGCTTCACCGAGTCACCCAGGTGCCCCCCAAAATTCATGAGTCTTAAAAACAGATTATTAGCATACTAAAAATTAGGTTTATCATTTTTCTTTTATAATAAATTACTTAGTATTTTCAAACATTAAGCCGGCTTAACCAAAGCAAATCAAGTGCAAGGCAAAAAATCCAGAAAACAGAAAGCTGTGTTTATCTTAGTTGTTTTTGTTGTAGTATTAATACTAAGGCAACATGTCCATGGAGTGAGTAGGTGTCTTTATAGTGAATTCAGGTCCCCAACCTAAAACTAAGTTATTCTTCAGTTCTAAAGAATTTTAGGGTAGTTTTACTCATCAGATTCACTAGAAAACTAATATGGAAAAGTCCCCTGATGAGTTTTAGAAAACTAAGTGCTCTACGTAGATAGAAATTAGGCTGCTAAAAGGGTTGGTTGGCTGTGTTGTGTACATTACAAGAACACTTTGCAATGATTTTTTTAGAGTTAAATTATTTTGACTTCTGAAGTCTTTTTCTTCTTCTTCCTTTTCCAAAGGGAAAATAGTTCCCGATGAAATAGAAAAAACAGTCATTTTGCCCTTAGGAAAAGAAGTAAAAGAAAAACACGTCTAAATGGCTGGCATCTTTGTGAACGAGGCTGCTGGTTGGGTTACCATCCACCCACTACGCTTATGCTTCTTGTCCCACTGTGACTACTAACGGCCTCTCCCTTGACTTTCAGAAGCATCCAAGTTTGGAAATATAATCAGCCTATT